TGCATGCAGATCACATATGGGGGTGTGTGTGAATAACACTGCCCAGGGAATTTCAACATCTCTGCTCCCACCGTGGGCATAACCAGACCATGCAGAGGGGAGTGAAAAATTATACAAAGTTCGCCAAACGTGTTGAACCTTTCCAACTTGGGTTGGTTCAATGTTTGAACTGAGGTCCAAGCCAGTTCTTGCTTTAGCCACACAGTTTGCCCCAAATTTATTACTGTAGGTCCTACATAAACACTGGACTTTTTAAGAGGATTTAAACATTCGTCACTAGATTATAACATTTAGGAAGTAGGTCAAATTTGAAACCTATTCTATCTGACTATATTCTTTCAGCGAACTATAGCTCAAGGAATCTATAGGCCTCATGTACAGAGACATAGAATTTACCACATCACATCAGATTATTGGTCCATCTTTTTCAGTATTTCTGCCCCACCCCCCGGCCCTATTGAACCAAAGCTCCCATTGACTTTAATGAGTTCAGGATTAGACCTTCCGGCAACAGTTAAACCTAATGTTTCATGGAAGTCAATATCCAGACAAATACCTCGCCGACACACAATGGGAGACTCTAACACGTGAGATTTGATTACCTTTACGTATCACTAGCATTACATTAATAGTCCCTCCGAGCTAGAGCACCGGTGGAATCCCCCACGAAAAAATAATCCAGCTCCAATCTTGATTTCCAGCTCCCCCTGCTCACCGACCATCTTGCCCGTCCCCACAGGAGCAGCTGCAGAATTGGATTCGAGGGAATGTTAGCGTCTGTCCGAGGTCGCTTTTCATTTTCTCTGAAATGGACCAGATGCCGCATGGTCTGATTGACTCCATCATGCCGTACCTCAGTGATCGCGAGGCTATCAATGGCGTCTCCTACGGCAAGGCCATCTTCCTCTTCCTGAAGTAAGGAAATCCAATGGTTAGTGAGTAACTGTGACCCAACAGAGTCAGCAAGGGCAAAGGGAGAAGCAGGTGCTAATAGGCTTTCACCAGGCTACAGTTTGATTGCCTGGGTTTGGGTGCCTCGCTGTACACGCTCTCCTTGGTCACCGAGAAGAGACTGTCCATATGTGGTAACTGAATCTGTCCAACTCTCATGTCAGTCAGAAGAACTTATACCTCTACAATTATTCAGAGTGAGAGGATCTCCTTCCTTCAGGACTGGTAGAAATGTTGCCGTTAGCCACTCCTCCGGTACCTTCTCTTTCTCCAATACCTTCTTATATATTTTTCCTAATGGTTTGACAGCACTTGTCCGACTGGCTTTTAGCAGCTCAACTTTATATTGTCTATTCTTACAGCTTTCCCATTTGTAACTGCTTCACTGTTCTTTCCATTTCTTCTTCTGATGGATACATATAGAAAGATACATATTGAGAGTCCATAATATTGAACAGAATTCATAAGTTGTGCATAGATTCCCCAAGTCATCATACCCACCCACTGAGGGCTCCTTCCATGCATGGATCTAGGGGGTACAATCTGGCCCTTTGCGTTGTTCCTGAGATAATACTTTGCTGAGGGTCATTCTGATGATCCAGTTCATTTCTCTCCTAACAGTAACGCAGGAGGGGATAAGATAACAGAGGTGGCGCTCGATCATTGGAGGAGGCAGAAGGGAAGAGAAGAAATTCCCCTGACGGACCTGCAGTCTATGCTATCTGCCGAGATTTTCAATAACAGGAACAGTGAGTACTTCTGAGCTCGTGAGGTCCATGGGATCCCATGTGTATTGTCCAGCCCCAGTTCTCTGTGGAATGACCCATGCAGTACTGGTACTTAGCAATATATTCCTGAAACATAATTATTTTAAAGAACTCAATTGTAAACCTCCCCACATAGGTCAAATAGTGTTTGTAGAGTGCTTTCAGATCCCCAGATAGCAGGCTTTGTAGAAGAATAAAACATTGCGGTGACATGTGGTCATTCCAGCTATGCACGGACAGACATACCTCTCTCTTCCCTTCTCCCCCCCCCCCCCCCCAGGTGGTTTTTGGAATAGCAAGCTGATCCAGAAGAACCTGGTAGATTATTTCATCCCTTTCTTGCCCCTGGAATATAAACATGTGAAAGAGTGCATCCAAGAGGAGCTGCGCTACCAAGGCCACCAAGAAGATGAAGACCTCATCATAAAGATTGCCTTAGCAATGTCCGACTATCCCAGTGAAGATAGAATTTACTCTAGCAAAGGTTGCAAAACTGTGGCCTCAAAGGTGAACCTGGATACCTAGAAAGGCCAAGTGCTCAAGGACAAGGAGGAAAAGAAAGCAAGTCTCTTTCTCCTTCTCCCACCAGTATCTTCTCAGACTGTAAGCTTGTTGGGGCAGGGAACTTCCCTTTAATATATCTAAAGCCCGTGGTACACTGGGACTGGAGAGAGAAGATAACTTTCTCATCTCAGCATAATATAGTACATCCTTTCCCTACCTTCAAAACATGCTGCTGTAAGTAAAATAAAATTAATATGGTATTTATTCTTAACTATCTCTCTGGATTCTTGATAAACCTCCCCTATTGAGACCAGAAGAAGGCAGTACAGAGTAGGCAGGGCAGATATGCCTGCCTTGTTTTTCCAGGGATATGAACAAAGGAAAAACAAAAGCAACAGAAGAAAAGGGACCCAATATACAGAACTACTGAATCAGGTTTGCTTGCCCACTTAATTCCTCACCAGTCTCTATTAATGATGATTGTGTGAGCTTTTGATTTTAACAGCAAATCTAGAAAACTCTGGTTATGGACAGAGGTTTGCTAGAGAATAGGCCAGAGGTGCTACGGTTTAGAATGATGCTCTAAAAAGCTTGGAGCCCAAATAAGCCCCTACACACTTCTAAGCTTTTTGAAATCTTCCCTAACATTTTATTAAAATATTTTTAAGGATCCTGTCAGGGAAATTCTTGGGGCAGGATAAGGGAGGGGAAGAAGATGAGTTTATTGATATCTGCCAAAATACCCATCAGCTTAGATCCTTAAATGTACATGCACCAATTACACAGAGTGTTTCCTTCCTACAATTCACTCAGATGGTATAATGAAGATATATTAGTCAGTTATGCTTTTGGTGCATGTCAGTTTAATTTTCTAACCTCTTGTTGCAATGTTTTGGTTGCAAACACACTAGGGAAATGTTTGAATCCAAACAATAAACGCTTTTTTATATTGAGTCAAACAAATCATGAAAGGTTTCTGTCAGTGTCAGGTTTTGAAAAATTACTTTTTACACCACCTACATTTTTTCCCTGGATTAACACTTGATAATTTCCCTGTAACTCCTCCCTGACAAACCACCAACAAAGAAAGTATTTTTAGCACAAGAAATATGACTCTGATGGAACTGAAAAGAAGGCAGGACAAAAAAGCAAACCCCGAGGTTACATAAAGACTTGTCTGCCAAGAGGAAATGTACAGTTGAAAAATGCAGAAGCCACTTCATTTGGACAGTTTGACACCCATTAAAACTTGCAGAAATAAAACAGAGGAAGCAAAAAATACAAAATGAAACTTAGTAAAGGGGAGGAAATGGAAAGCCTGATTCTAATCTCACACCCTTTTACACTCAACTGATTTAAATGGAGTAACTTCTGATTTACACCAATGTGAATTTCCAATTAAACCAAGGGGAGTCTTTTTGCTGATTTCAGTGGGACTTGGATCTAGCTAAATGAGATCAGAATGAGCCCCAGAGTTCTTAAACATACACCAAAGGTGACTGGGGCTAGTGATCTGTGCACAATAGTGACTCAACTTCACTTCTGCTGAAATCCTCATCCATGCTTCCACCTTCACTCACCTTGTCTATTATAACTCTCTTTTCTATTGTCTTCCAAACTGTCAGTTCACCAGAAGCTACTTGCTTTCTTAACTGTACAAATAAACACAATAATGTCACCCCCATCCTCAAACAACTGTACTTGCGACGGCTGGAATTTTAAAATGAAATGTTCCTTCAGGCTCTTTTCTCTTGGTGGTTGTAGGATTTAGTGCGGTTTTGGCAGTCCCTTGTGTATTTACCCCGGCTGGTTCACTGTTTACTCTCTTTTGTAATAGTCTGCAATGATTTACCTCTCCCATCTGCGGGTGTTGGCACAGGGCACTCTGCTGCTGCTGCAGACGTGTAGCTTTCAAACTGTAATGGTAAACAAATAAGAGAGAAGCACTGTTCAGACAGGTTCAAACTATTCCAGTGCATGATGGGGAAAGGTATCAGCACTGACACTTTACATGCAAAGGAAGGTATCTTCTGGGCTGTGAATAGGGAGACCAGACAGCAAATGTGAAAAATCGGGACAGTGGGTGGGGTAATAGGAGCCTATATAAGAAAAAGACCCAAAAATCGGGACTGTTGCTATAAAATCAGGACATCTAGTCACCCTAGCTGTGATAGACACATATGCAGGAGAATGCCTGTGGGATCAGAGAAAGGGTGCGACTCTGCCATCATGGGAACCTTTGTGGGAGGCTGGGGATTGTGATGATAACATTTTACTCTGGCGTCATCACGTTGCATCGTGAGGAGAAAACATTCTTGCTGGCGTCACAGATGGCGACGAGCTTTTCAACTGGTCTCTTGCTCCCCCAGGTGTGGGGTCACCAGCCCCCCCCCCCCCCGAGCTGTGAGGAAAACAGGCTGTAATATGCACCCCCACCCCCTCCAGGGAGGATGGGAAACCACCAGGGGAAAGCAGGCTCCTGAAGGGAGCCAGAAGCCAGCGCACCGCCTCACCTAGGCTTGGGCTGGGCAGAACATGTGTCCCTGTCCCTCCCAAGCAATTTCCTGCATCCGCCCCTCACAAAGATGGCAGGAGGAAGCGTGTGCGTGCGGGGCGGAAACAGCTGTCGTCCGAACGCTCCCTCCCACACTTTCCAAGCAATGGGAATCTAACTCCCGCCCTCCCAAAGATGGCGGCGGAGCGCTACGCGTGGCGGAAGTGCTGGGCACGGCGCAGGGGCCGTCGGGAGTTGTAGTTTCTACCGGGCCCTGGCGGCGAGCCGCTGCCTCCCTCGCGGACGGGGCCGGCCAGCTGAAGCCGCCATGCAGCTGCAGCTGGGGCTGCTCTGGCTCCTGGTGCCGGGCTCGGCCGCGCTGGAGCCCATCAGCCTGAGCATCGCCATCGGGGCGGCCTCGGTGCTCACCGGCTACCTCTCCTACCCCAGCTTCTACTGCGGCTTCGTGGAGTGCTGCCCCGGGGAGCGGGACCGGCCCAATACCACCGGTACCGGCCCGGCTGGGGCAGGGGACCGAACCCAGAGCCGGGGGAGGGGGACCGGCCCAATACCACCGGGACCGGCCCAATACCACCGGGACCGGCCCAGCTGGGGCAGGGGACCGAACCCAGAGCCGGGGGAGGGGGACCGGCCCAATACCACCGGGACCGGCCCGGCTGGGGCAGGGGACCGAACCCAGAGCCGGGGGAGGGGGACCGGCCCAATACCACCGGTACCGGCCCGGCTGGGGCAGGGGGACGGGGACCGAACCCAGAGCCGGGGGAGGGGGACCGGCCCAATACCACTGGTCCCGGCCCGGCTGGGGCAGGGGGACGGGGACCGAACCCAGAGCCGGGG